CTCACCCCATTCTACACACACGCCATACACACATACAAATCAAACGTTAAAATGTGAAATCGTCGTTAACCCTTGAATTGCATTTCAGCTCAATTGTTTATTTTTAAATGACTGTAGCATTATATCAGTTTAAATATTTAAAAAGATTTCTGGTTAACTTATGTAACAGTTGGTGGAAAATGTTTAGCAGGTTAAAAATGTGGGTTTGGCTACACTTTCAAGATAAAAGTGGCAGGTTTGCAAGTCAGGACTCTCCAGAAGTGGCGAGTGAGTCGAAAAGTTGATATAAGACCCAGCAGATTAAGGACTCTTTACTCTTTGGGCTGGCCAGTCGCCCTGAGGACACACATCGTTGCTGAACTGTACATGACTCTCAGCGCAATGTAGGCAGGACGAGAAAGACAGTCGAGAAAGATGAACTGGCTCACTGGTTTTGTGTTGTGGTGGTACGTTGAAGAGTAATTTTTTTTAAAAATCTACATTTATATTGTGCATCTTAGTGATGAGATTTTTTATTGCAGGTCACTGGAGCGATTTTACATATTTTTTAGTTAGAGTGATTAGCACATGGTCTTTTCAAACATGTTGATTATTGATAAATAGTTATCTGCGAAGTACTCTAGTTTTGTTTTCAGAAAAATAAACAGATGTATGTTTGATTCAGAATAAGACGAGTTGTTATTGTTCGTGTCTGTCCAGGCACTGCCTATGTAGTTATATGTTGTTGTTGTGTAATTCATTATTTACATATTAATCGGCTGAGCCATGGGTAATTATCATGGTTCCTCCACTAGAAGAGCCATTGTCTCCTCTTTACTTTTCTGTTTTTTTTTTCAGTTCTGCAGGAATCTACTTATTGTTCTAACCACATTTCTTTCCTTGTCGTCGCCTAACTTGTTTTACCCTATTTTTCGCTTCCTACATGCTCTTTTCTCAGACCAGATTGAATAATAGTTTGGGAAAATAGAGATTGAAGGCCTCTACCAAAACATCTAAATGTAACTGAATATTAACTGCAAGTTAAAGATTAAAAGTTATTGAATCTAGATCGTTCAGAACTCAATTCCCCCCCCCCCCCCAACAATAACTCTGATATAGTGTTGCCATGCTACTCCTGAAGTTCTAATTTCAAGTTTTTTAAAGCTTTAAAATAAATAAATTTGTAAGACGTGTCACTGAAAAAGCAGATGAGTTTTCAGTAATTTGTAACACAGATAATTTTTTCTTTAGTGAGAAACACTTCGACCTCAGATTAATAAAAGTCGTACAATCGAGCCAGCATGTTTTCGTTTGATAATCAGCGGAGCTTGGCATGAAAAAATAGAATATTATTTAGGGCTTGAAGGTCATCACAAAGAGCCTGAATGAGTCTCTTTTCTTCAACAGGTTTGATTTGAGAAAATCCACCCTTTTATAGCTAATTTCACTGTATCGTTCAGATCCCGGAGCAACGTCTTGCCTGACTCTGAATTACACAGTTAGTTCCAATGATATCTGGATGTTTTGTTATACCAGTTTCAAAAACCCAGAATGAAAACCTATCATAGTTCGAGCACCATCGGTACAAACATCCATTACATTTTTTCCTTGATAATCTATTTGGAAAAAAAATTAAAATCATTAATGGTAAAAAGTAAATCACAGGTTTTTGATACTGTTTGCACACATTTAGAGACAAGCATTTCTCCTTTTACATTATCTTTATTCACAAATCGACAATATACTATTAAAAGGCAACACTGTACTCAATCAGTTTTTTAATCACATTGGATTGATAAGAAGGTATAATTTTTACCTTTCCATTAAACTGATATTCTATATCTTCCTCGAGGTCATTATCCATTCACAGTGCTGACAGAACGAGATAATGTTGATGATTGTCACAACCTGCATCACTTAAAATAATATTTGCAGCCAGTAGAATACAAGGTTTAACAAGCGCATCTCCAAATGTTTTTGCTTTCTAGTTGATTGCTATTTGTGGGGTCGCTTCATATAATGCTTCAATAGCCTTTTCATTGTGTTGACTCAAAGTTGAATACAATGTTATCCCCTTTAGGGAGTTTAATTTTTTAGCAAAATCTTCTGTATATATTTTTTTAGCCCTGAATGTACTGTACTTAAATGCCTTTCCAAGCATACGTCTCACTGCATCATTACTGAGAACATAATTGTGAACAACACACTAAGGTTGTTGTTTGTCCTTACTGTCTAGCTCCGTAAAACCAAACTGAATATACTTATCCTGGAACAGTGATTTCTTTGGCACAGACATTATTGTTATATTTCTGTCATTGCAATAGAAAGAAGCACACTGAAGAGTTAAACACAGTTTTGTTAAAATAAAATCGCTAAACTGTATGGCAAATGACTTAAATGTTTACCTTAAAAATGTGCAATGCGCATTTGCTGTAAGAAACAAAGTATAGAGATAAGTTTTAGTCAGAATGTGTTTTAATCTATAATTTAATGCAAGTGTTATCAAATTAATTATACGGTTAATGGTAGATGTACTAACTGCTCATGAAAACAAAAACATATTTGGCATTTTGTTTTATAATAGATCAACAAAAACAAAAATATTATTTATCAATAAATCGGAACAAAGTATTAGTATCACAAGTACAAATAAACTCAGTTTCCAACTACATACAAATTTTAAGAGTAAAGAGATAAAGAGATATATTATGACAACATGTTGCTTGTTCTGTTTGTATGTTTGCATGCTCACTGTCTCTGCTGAAATCCTTTTTGTGTCGTTAGAAACGTCGTTTGTCAGCCTATATTTCCTGTATACAGGCTACATGCTACATGCTATGTAAATAGTTTGCTTGTCCTATGTACAGCCTGCATGTTCCATGTACAGCCTGCATGTCCCATGTACAGCCTGCATGTCCCATGTACAGCCTACATGTCCCATGTACTGCCTGCATGTCCCATGTACAGCCTGCATGTCCCATGTACAGCCTGCATGTCCCATGTACAGCCTGCATGTCCCATGTACAGCCTGCATGTCCCATGTACAGCCTACATGTCCCATGTACTGCCTGCATGTCCCATGTACAGCCTGCATGTCCCATGTACAGCCTGCATGTCCCATGTACAGCCTGCATGTCCCATGTACAGCCTGCATGTCCCATGTACAGCCTGCATGTCCCATGTACAGCCTGCATGTCCCATGTACTGCCTACATGTCCCATGTACAGCCTGCATGTCCCATGTACAGCCTGCATGTCCTATGTACAGCCTGCATATCTTGTACAGCCTACATGTCATGTGTATAGTATATGTGAAACATGCACATTTTCCGCGTATGCCTTGAGAATACTTGAAACATGTACAGTATACATAAATGTCAACAACCTGTGGGTAAAGTGTACAATATACAGGTAATGTGTATAGTAATATGTTCAACAGACATCCAAAGCCATCTGTGTATGAATGAATGGATCAAGAATTGACACTCGAGACTTCCCATATATGCTCTGTCTTCCTCTCCAGTAGCTAAAACAGACTTCCATTACATGCTGTGCCTCCCTCTCCAGTAGCTAACACAGACTTCCCATACATGCTGTGCTTCCCTCTCCAGTAGCTAACACAGACTTCCCATACATGCTGTGCCTCCCTCTCCAGTAGCTAACACAGACTTCCCATACATGCTGTGCCTCCCTCTCCAGTAGCTAACACAGACTTCCGATACATGCTGTGCCTCCCTCTCCAGTAGCTAACACAGACTTTCCATACATGCTGTGCCTCGCTCTCCAGTAGCTAACACAGACTTTCTATACATGCTGTGCCTCCCTCTCCAGTAGCTAAGACAGTCCCATTCGGGCGATGCCAGCTGCAGTCTGGTTAAAAGTTTTGACGCCACTCCCACCTTATTTGATGTAGAAAGTCCGCCAGACCCAACCTTTTTATTCACTCCCAGGCGATTCATTGTCCCAAGATATGGATGTTCTGTCTGTTCTATTACATTGTTAACATGGTCCTCTGGATAACACATGCCAAATATACACCGTATATAACATGCACAATATACACCGTATATAATATGCACAATATACACCGTATATAACATGCACAATATACAGTATAGATAACATGCACAATATACACCGTATATAACATGCACAATATACAGTATAGATAACATGCACAATATACACCGTATATAACATGCACAATATACACAGTATGCAAGGTGCATAATATACACACATAAAACAAGCAAAATATGCACAGTAAATTACACGCACAATATACACAGTAAATAACATGCCCAATATATAAATACACAATATACACTGTGTATAATAAGCACAATATTCACTGTATTTAACATGTTCAATATACACCGTATGTAACACGCACAATATACACGGTATATAACACGCCCAATATAAACCGTAGATAATATGCACAATATATGCACAATATACATCGTATATAACATGCACAATAGACACCGTCTATAACATGAACAATATATGCACAATATACACCGTACATAACATGCACACTATACACCGTATATAACATGCACAATATACACCGTATATAACATGCATAATATACATCGCATATAACATTCAAAATATATGCACAATATACATCGCATATAACATTCAAAATATATGCACAATATACATCGTATATAACATGAACAATATACACCATCTATAACATGAACAACATACACCGTATATAACATGGACAATATACACCGTATATAACATGCACCATATGCACAGTAAATAACATGGCAAATATATAAATGCACAATATACACTGTGCATAATAGTCACAATATACACCGTACATAACATGCTTAACATATAACAGTCGAAATACACACTGTATATAACGTGCACAGTATATACTGTGCCCAGCATACACCATATATAACATACACAGTATTCACCATACATAACGTCTACAGTTTACCCATATATAACAAACACAATATACACCAAATATAACACACAGTGTCAGCAAGCCGATTACTTTGCCCGTGGTTTCACGCGTAAGAAAACAATAACAGAAACAAACACGAGAAAACTTGAGATGGCGTCTGTTTGAAACAGCCAGAACCACCCAAACCGACCAAGTACCGACGGACTGATAATCGGCATCAGGAGACTGACTACTACATTGGAGCTGAAGATGAGACTAGTGTTGACGCTGAGGTTAGTGGCTCCATACAACTTCAGCGCCGCGTAGGGAGCCAGCACGAAGGCCATGTTGCACTCGGAAATAAGGAGCACAGAGAAGATCAGGTAGAGCACACGATGTAAATGAAGGGAATGGAACCAAAAGATGCACAAGATGGTGTTGAGAGCCAAATAAATGATAATATTATCTTTTAAATCAAATTTATCCAAGATATAGCCTGACAAAAGGCGGCCTCCAATACTGCCAAGGGAAATCAACGATGCAACAAGGGCAAAGAAGTTGTCATCAAAGACGAGACTTTGCCCGTACTGTTTGTAGAAATTGCTGACCATCAAAAGCCCGTACATGAACACCCCGACTGCGAACCACAACAGGTAGAAGTTCCTATCTTGTAACACTTGCAAAGGCAATACGTCTTCTAAATGCAGGACGGGTGACAATGGGTCGCTGCTCTGCGGTGAACACAGCCCGTTTGTGTTGTTGACGTGTGAAACTGGATAATCATTATGCGGTGAACAATGCTCTTGCTCTGAATAAGTAGAAGGCGGTTTTGAATCCGCATTCCCGTTATCAGTCGTATATAACTTCTGTGCACAATTCGCTATTGGATATTTACTATCCTGGGAGTTTATGTCCACAAGTTCAGAACTAGCGTGCGGCTCACTGCTTTTCCTCTCCATTGATAGTCTGTCATAAGCAGGTGGAGGCTGAAGCAGCAAACACCCAAGGAGATGGGTGGCAGTGGACATGGCTCCGAAGACCAGAAAGACCCGTGGCACTCTGTCTAGCAAGTCATCCTGGGAGAAGTAAGAAGCCGTGCTGGTGATCACGTCGGGTTGCAGATTGTCCGGGTTAATGTACACCGTCAGCAGGATGTTGGTGAAAATGCTGCCTCCACTGACTGAACAGGATGAAAAGGCGCATGCGCGTCCAATATGCTGCGGAAACCATCCACACATGTAGTAGAGCGACACACAGGCCACTCCACCGATGGCCAGCCCGCCCAGAACTCCCAGGGTTAGGGCCAGCATGCCGATAGAATACTGTGATGTGAAGTAACTGATAAATATTGCCAGGTCCAGAAAGAGAACAATACATACTGTGGTCATTCGCAGTCCGAGCCACTTGACCAGGAGGCCAGGCGTGGCCAAGCCGACGCTGTAGGTAATGCTGTAGAGAGTTAGAGGCCAGGTGGGATTGAGGTCGAAGCCATCTGTTCCTCGTCTGGCCATTATGTAAGAGCTGATGTATGTAATTAGATTTCCATATAGCCACGGTATTCCATTTGGAAGATTCAGAAACAAAATACCCAAACAAGTCAGAACATGGCGCCGTGTAAGCGACGTGTACGTCATGACATACAAGTTTTGGATAACAGCACAGCGAGCGACAAAAGCGTTCATACACTCGATGGCCATCTGAGATTATGTGATTTGTTTTATACACTTTGTCAAACATCTGTCCCTCTTGTGCAGTGGTTCTTAACCTGTAGGGACTACAACTTTTTTTTTCTTCTTCTTCACTTCCTCTTTTACCGCTGTGGGTGTCGAGGGAGATATAAGGTTCTGTTTCTAGCTCTTCTGGCTGCCACGACCATAGGCACATCGTGCTGTTGTAGAGTTTCTCTGATGTTATCCTTCCATCTTGTTCTTGGTCTACCCCGTGCTCTACGTCCTTCTTCTCTTTCCAGTGTGCTTTGTATGGTATGGTGTCACAAGGCATTCTCTCTAAGTGGGCAAACCATTTCACTTGCTGTCTTTGTATGTAATCCAGAATTGGTTCTGTGCCGACTTGTTCTCTTATGATCTCATTCCTGATCTTATCTCTTATAGTGGCTCCTACAGCCCTTCTCAGACATCTCATTTCCGTGGTTACTAATTTTCTTTTATGGTTTGTTGTGAGTGACCATGTCTGGCACTGGTAGCACAGAGTTGGAATAAATATGCTTTGAATAAGATGTCTCTTTGTGCTGATTGGGATTGTCTTATGCTGTAAGAGGGGAGCTAGCTGTCCCAATACTTGGTTTGCTTTACTGCATCTAATGTCAATTTCTTTATCCAATTTCCCATCTTCGGTAAATGTAGTTCCCAGATATTTAAACTCAGATGCCTGTTTAATGCCTTTGTATTCTATTGCTATGTTTAGATCTGTCTTCTTTTTTCCTATTGACATTACTTCTGTCTTTTCAGTGTTGATTCTCATATTATTTGTTTTTACATTCTTCATTCATGGATGTTAGATGTTCTTGGCAATTTCATGGCTGTAACTGCTATCCAAGGCCTGGTCATCTGCAAAGAGTAATTCGTTGATCTTACTAAGATCTTCATTCATGGGCTTGGCATTCTTGCATATACAGTCGATGTAGGTGATAAACAGCAGTGGTGATAAGACACACCCCTGTCTTACTCCAGATGTCACTGTGAAAGGATGAGATGTTCCCTGATTTATTCTAACTACACTTCTACAATCCCTGTATAAACTTTTGCACACTTCGATGAGGTGTTCGCTTACTCCATATCTTGCCATTATTTTCCATAATAATTGTCTGTCGACTCTGTCAAATGCCTTCTCCTGGTCTACTACAACTTTAATCATCTTTATTTAGCAGTGATGTTTCTAGTCTGTTGTTACTACATGGTAACTTCAGTCAACAGGCTAAGGATTCTATCTATTATGTTAATAAACAAACTTTGTAAAAGAAATGCTTGTTTTTCGAGTGACAGGGAAATTCGGGGAAAAGGGAGGGGGGGGGGGTGTGGAGCTATGTCTCAGCCGAAACAATGGTTATCTATTTTGGGTTGCCCATCAATATATACTTGTCTCAGGTGGCCTATCGGCAGCAGTATTTATATTTTTGAAGCAGCCTGACTGAAAACAGCTCTGTCTGTCGCATCGTAGATTTGGAATCCTCATTAATCAGCAGCTAGTTTACAGAGCGTCGCTCTCATCACGGTACGGCTGAAAAATTCTTCTTTAGCGAACTCTCCAGTCCTATGCGCTTTCATAGCCAATGCATCTCCGGTGTCTTGAACAACCTTCTGCTCATCCAACTGTGTATTTAAAAATAGAATAGAATAGAATAGAAGAGAGAGAAAAAGAGAGAGAGAGAGAGAGAGAGAGAGAGAGAGAGAGAGAGAGAAAGAGAGAGATATTATCTCTCGTAAAAGAGATCTCGGTGTCACGTGTTGAGTTGAACAGTTCTTTTTTCTCATCGCGTGTTCTGTCCAACAACAATGTTAATAACTCCGTGCAAGACTGAACTCATCTGATTCAACCTCAGAGCTGCGTGAGACGGCTGTAGCATCATCTTTCTACCAATGAGGTTTGAGCCCTGCACTTAGCCAGAAGCTGTTGATTTCAGTGCTACCAATACACGAACGACATCTTGTACATTAAGTGCATCAAGTGTTTTGCAGACTTTCAATGCTCTTTTGACTCTGCAGGTGATTTCAAGAGTGAGGGTGCTTTTTCTTTATTACATTATGTGTGGTTCACGAGTGATCTTCTTTTCTCTACTTCTGGAACACCTCGCAGCGTCAGGGAAGGAAGAGATCTCTGGAACGGGTCTTTCTGTTTGCATCGTATATAGTACTTTTCAGTCTCTTCAATATTTCTGCTGTATATTTTTTGAATGGCCTATAACCTCTAGCTCTGTTATCGCTGTTATTATCTCTATGTGACACTCTGGTAATCTTAGTTTCAGCTTCATAGCAAACGGGTCACCCCATCTTTGCTCCGCTCCTGTGCCAACGAAAAACACACAGAATATTTATCACAGTATCAAACATACACTCGCATTAAAGCATACGGTAGCCATCCGAAGTGCTAACACAAACAGTCCAACATAAGAAATGCAGTTTATTATTGATGATAGCAGAACTTGTCGCCAACAAATCAGCAGTTGCCCACGCGATCAATTTTAATCACATACGGACACCGCCAACATTGCACGACAGGCATCGCGCCATTTTCTGAATCTACAATTCACACCGCCACGTTGGTCACAGTCAAAAAAAAAACATTCCAAATGCAATCCGCAGCTCACAGTGTCACGCCAGGCATTCAACTCAGAAGCTGGGCGACGAAACTATATCCAGTCTACAAATTGAGAAAAAATGTATCGGCCACCGTCCGGCAGAAGCAAACAATTTTCCTCTGCTTCGAACAGTGCCGCTGCCAAGCGTCCATTTTAACCGGAAAGATGTGGCACTCTGTCTGTTGCCAGTCTTTGTTACATGAACAAACCATTTAATCAGTTGTCTACCGATAAAGCTCAGCACTGGTTCTGTGCCGACTCTCCTCCTGACACTATCGTTCCCAAGTCGATCTTTCTTCGTTACACCTAGCATAGTATGTAAAGATATTAATGATTAAACATACTGATAGCTGGAGTTCAGTACAAAGATGTATTGTCCTCAGAGCATTGTCTTGGGGAAGGTCGACCGGTTAGCTACCTCCGTGATAATGTGTGACGGAGGGTGAGAGGGGAAGGGGGTGGGGGGGGGGGTGTTATATAGAATGAACACGCATTAAAAAGTTTATAGCATGGATACACATTGAAACAGTTATAGTATGATCATAACCTGGACAGACTTTAGCATGGACACAACTTGGACATGTTGTATAGCATAGACAAACACAGACAGATTATTTCATGGAAATAACTGGGACAAGCTAGGGTTAATGTAATTTTAGTCTCACCACGGCCCGCCCATATAAACATTAGCTCCCTTCTGATTGGTAGTTCCTGAGCCCCGTAACCTTCCCACAAGGTTACGGGAGTGTTCCGCAATACCGTTGATATCGCGTGTTGTATGTTTCAGCAAGCCAGCGCTCTTAACGCTCTACAAACATGGACCAACTGGTCCTAACACAAGCCCCTCAGAGAATGCTGCAACCTATGTCACAGGCATTCTCTTTCTCGGAATTAAAATGTAAATGCAAGACACCACAGAAAGAAAACAATAAAGCGGAACACACCGTAACTTTCAGGAAAGTCAACTAGACTAGCAGACTTGTAAATGGAAAGTGACCTACTTTGTCTGGGGAGATTAAAGTGAACTGCGTCCAAGTTAGCTAACCTTCAATTAAATAATAAATGAATGCAGCTCAGGTCAAGGTTAGGTCACAGTCTGATGTTTCAGAACTAAGGCAACACAGGGGGGCAAACGATACGGGCTATAGCAAGAATGGCTATAGCATTACCAGCAGTCTGTACGCACCAACACGAGATTTACCATATCCTTATGATTTTTATAATTTATAATTATACAGGTGCTGCTGTTTTCTGGAAGCGGTGAATTTTTAAAAAAAAATCTTTTTTGACTACTAATTTATGTACCCCTAAAAAAAAGAACATACAGTAACTGACACATGCGTGGAGATGTTTGCTAAATTAGTGCACATCTGCATCGATGCGTGGTGATTATTTTGATAACCCATCCCGCCTACAATAAAAAAAAAATCGCTGTTAACAGAAGAATAACGCTGAAGATGACCACCCGAGAGTGAAACTTCTATGACAGAGGTGCAATTTTATTTTTTGACAAGTTTCTGTTACTCAATTAATTGTTAGCAGGCTGACTGTTTGCTTTGAATCAGTGTCTTTTTTTTTTTTTTTTTTACATTGTAAATTTCAACAACTTATTTAGAATGGTTACTGAGTTACAGATTTTTTAAGTTGGGCAGAACTTTTGGAACGGACTATAGTAGAAGCCTTATGTTCGCCAATATATGTGTGTGTGTGTGTGTGTGTGTGTACTGTGTGTACAGGTAAACAGTAGCTGTCCAGCCAATGGGGTAGAGCGTTATCCAGAAAGACATTCATATTGACTGATGGAAAGACCAACAGCTGTTGCAGATTCTTAGCAGGCAGACAGACATACTTGAAAGCTATGCATATAGTTATATAAAAAGATTAACAGAACGACACAAAGACAAACAACTAGAAGAACAGACAAGTAGTCGTAATTTAAAGAACAATCCTGTTTAAACCATCTTGGTTATAACTGGGATATTGATTTATTTCGTGATAAATGAGTATTTATAGTTGTCAATTATTTTTCAAGATTTCATATTGCAAAGAGAATGCATTAAGTAACAACTCGTACAAAGTTTAGATTATTAAGTTCAATATATTTAAGTACACTGTTTAAAAACATGTGACAATCGTATTGTTTAATTATCGTATAAAGTGATCTAGAATACCACTGTTCTGTCATCAGATATATTAACATCTCATATGCAAACCTTTGTTCTCTTGATGTACGTACCGTTCAATCAATCTGTGCCTGTAGTTCTCTACAGCTGTCTATCCCCAGCAAGATTTCTACTGTCGTCAGTTTGCTGCATCAGG